CCTGCCAGCACAGCGGCTGCTGCGGAGGGGAAGCGATGCGAGCGGAGACGCTTGCGCCAGAGCTCGCGGCGGCACCCAGACAAAGCGCGGGCTGCACAGCCCCTTTGTGCTCCCGCTCTGACGCCCTTTGTTCCCTGCTGGCCCTGCGCCACTGCCACCGCCGCTGGGGACACTGGCATTTGGGGGCACTTTCACTTTCTGTTTGTTGCCAGCCCTGTTGCCAGGGGCTCAGTGCAGGGCTCCAATGCACAAGTGCTTATTCTGCTCTGCTGGAGGGGGCACCAGCACCCAGCGGTGCGGGTTGCACAGGATTTCAATGGGGTACCAGGGGCTTTGCCAGTCTGAGAGGCTCCAGGTAGGTGTGGGCATGGGCGAGCAGCAGCTCTACCGCAACACGGAGTCGGGACACATGGAGAAACCGATACCAGGGATGGAGGAACCTGCAGCCCCGGGTGGTGCTTCAGCCCTCCCAGGGAGGGAGGATCAACCCTCTCCAGCCCGTGCAGCAGCCCAGGGCCCTGCTTACCCTGCTGGGCTCTACCTGCTTTCACGGAGACATGCACGTGCGCCTTGGATTCGTAATAGACCCAGTCGAAGCCAGCCTCAACAGCAAGGCGTGCCAGCATGCCGTACTTGTCCCGGTCCCGGTCCGACGTGGTGATATCCAGCGCCCGGCCCTCGTAGTGCAGTGAGTCATGGAGGTGGTGCCCATCCTCATCCCAGCCCTCCGTCACCCGCAGCTTCACCCCTGGCCACATGTTCATCACAGCGATGGCCAGGGAGTTCACCCGCTCCTTGCAGCGCTGGGGGTGGTGGGGGCAGCATCAGGCCCGTTGCATCGGACCTGGACCTGCCACCCCAGCCACCTAGGACCCTCTGCCAGGGAGACGGTTCAAGTGCAGACAGACAGACAGACACCAAGCACCTGCATGGGGCTTGCAAGGAGCTGGTCCCTGGTGGTTGCTGGCTCAGTGGAGGATCAGGCAGTGCCCCCTCCCCCGGGTCCTCCAGTGGGTGCAGGGCTGATGGTGATGGGGCTGTTCCAGGCCCGTCCCGATGAGGTTTAAAAATTAACGTGCCCTGGGGTCCCCATCGCAAGTGCCGCCCCCTCCTGGGCACCCGGGCGGAAAGGGCACGGCCGGTGCCTCCTCCGCGCTGTGACTAGTGAACCAGTGGCTCCCAAGAGAGGGCAGTGGGGCAGAACGCGGG